AATGGCCCCCAGAACAGTTTGGCCTCCCGCTGAGTATATCCCCTGGCCCTGAACATACCAGCAACAGTAAAAACTGGGTGATTGTGATTAGCTGTGACAAACTATATTGGCTAACTTATTGAGCACTTCCATGTGCCAGGCACTGTTAAGTGCTTTACATGTTTACTTGTTTAATCTTCGCACCCACCCTGTGAATGAAGCCCTACTACTATTGGCATTTCATAGATGTAGAAACTGAGGCATAGAGAACTGAGGTCCTGGAAGCCAGAGTCAGGCTGCCCACTTCTCCTCTTCTGTCCTACTTGGTGTTTCCACCTCTGCCCATCCCTCCTCACCTCTCAGCCTCCACCCTGGGCTGTTGGTTGGAAGGTTCATCTGAGGCCTCGACTGTGAAACGGTAGTAGGAAGCCCCTGGAGTGCTGAGGGTCATGACAGTGGCCTCACAGCCTCTCCCATCCGGCCCCCACCCACCTGGCTCTGCCCTCAGATCCTACTGTTCTGTCTACTCCATTTCCCCCAAGTAGCCCTTCAGGGACTTGGAAGTTGTGCTTCTACAGACTGAGCAGCCCAAGCCAGGGTTCTCTGGGGTCTGCGAGGGGAGTGGGTGTATGTCCCCTGATTTAGAGCCTATGCTCCTCATAAATCAGAGGCCTGACCCTGGCCTGATGGGCAGAAGGGTAGACATGGTCTCCTGATGATAAATGTCGCTGACAGGCTTTTAGCAACACAGTCAATAGCCCACCAGGCTGACTGATGTCTGCTAATGCTCAGTGTGAACCTTCATAGATACAGGGCAGAACATGGGTAGGGGAGTTAGGAAAGTGACAGCTGTCCCTTGTCCACTAAGAAGGAAAAGAAGCTGTCTAGGGCTGGGACCTTTGCTTGGGCTGGGACCTTTGCTTGGACAGGGCTGAGAGAGGATTCTGTGCCACCCCCTCCCCAGGCAGGTGGTCTGAATAAGGTTCCTGGGCAGCCCAAGGGCAGCCTGACAGTGCGTCCTGAGAAAACTGTGGTGCGGAAATTGGGACATGACCTCGAGTCAGAGTGTAGAGATAAAGGCCCTGAGAGTAATCTGGGGCAAAAGGCCAGTACTGCTCATGCCCTTTTACCCAAGAATGACCCAAGAGAAGGAAAAGGCGGTGTGCAAGAAGGGGGCTGGGACGCTGACTCGGAGAGGGCTGCTGCTCTCTCGGGGCATAGTAAGTCACCACAGGGTCGCACTGGAGGAGCCAGAGGCCTGGGCTCAAGCCCCACTCTGCCCCTCATGTCCACAGTGACCCTGGGCCGGTTCCCTCCCCCAGTCCAGGTTTTCCTAAGTCTGAGGTCAGTGAAAGGGTGCTGGGATCCATTAGCGATGCCTCCCGGGGACAGGATGAGACCTCAGCTGTCACTTCTGGTCTCAGAGCCTTTAAGCTCTGCAGTTCTGTAACAGAATTTTGTCTAATCCTGGAAGGACCTTCTTTTCAGAAAATCTGTGGTTTTGTTTTTAAACACCTTTTTTTAATCCCACAATTTGCATAGCTAAAAAAAAGACAAGATGGCAAAAACCATCCATTTATCCCACCATCTAAATATAACCACGATTAACATTTTGATGCATTTCCTTCCAGTTTTTTTCTCAGTTTTAATATACAAACATACACGTGTACACACCCACATATGTATACACATAATGATAGCTATGGATATTGAGCACTTCCGATAGCGCCTCACTCTCAGGCTCTCCCTGCATAATATCTTATTTAACCCTCAAGACAGCCCTGCAAGGAAGAGATTATTATTTACCTTTTTAGAAAGGTTTGCAAAATCTGAGCAGGTATACGCCATGCTCAGATTTTAGTTTTTAGAAGCTCCCAGTGAGGAGAGTACAGCATGTCCTGGAGGCCAGGCAAGGTGTGTGGCTGGAGCGATGGTCCCACGGAGACCTGAACCAGGGCGGGTAAGGACAGTGTTCTCCCTCCACAGCCCTGGCTGTAGGTGCTGCCCTGCTGGCACAGAGGGCAGGGAGAATGCACCTCTCTTCCCTGGCCAGGACCCGTTTCTTGTACAGGGGAGGCGACCACTTAAAAGGCATGGCACTGTTCCCCCTCTCCTCTCAAATCACTAACAAATGATGCAAGTCCACATCCTTTCCTTTTTTGTTGTTCTCGTGCTCTCTCAGTCTTTCTCTGAATATGGAGGTGTGTGTATAATTTTTCCTGAACCAGTTGAGGGTAAGTTACATACAAGTTAGCCCTTTATCCCTAAATACTTCGACGTTTCCTAAAATACAATATTCTCTTAAGTAAGCACCATATATTATCAACTTCAGTAGGTTTCACATTGCAACAACGTTTTCGTCTAATCTACTATTGTTGTTCAAGTTTGTTAAATAACATCCTTAATAGCATTCTCCCCTCAGCGGGGGATCCAGTGTCTGATAGGCCTAATAGCTTTTTCCTGAGTGGAGAGAGCAGGATTGAGCCAGAGTGTTTCAAGACGGGAGCCCAGGACCCCCTCCTGTTTGCTGAGCTACTAAAATGCATGCACAAACCCCCAGAACTCAGGGTTTGTCAGAGGTGACCGGGAAGCCCCGCATCCATTCTCACACTAGCTGCCTGCTTCACAGCCTTATTAAACAAGCTTAGGGACCACCCCTGCGCCTTTGCTCAGCTATGGTCAGGCATGGTCTCAGGGCTGTGACACAGAGTTGGGGAGGCAGGGAGGGAGAGGAGGCTGGGTGTTCCCTAAGTCTACTCTGTTCTTGAAAGTTCCTTTGTGAAAAATCCTGACACGATTGATTGTGAGAAGTCAAGGACTGTACTCTGTGTTCACCTTGCATCCGGCCCTCAGATAGTGCCTGTCCCCTGGGACCTCATGACTGTTTGCTGGATGTGTGGATGATCCACTTTTCCTCTCAGCTGTCTCCTTTAGGGAGGCTCAGCGCCCGTATCTCAGTGCGTAGAGTGCTGGCCACATACACGGGGTCTGGAGGGTTCAAACCCAGCCCGGCCAGCTAAACAACAGTGACAACAACCAAAAACAGCTGGGCGTTGTGGCAGGCACCTGTAGTCCCAGCTACTTGGGAGGCTGAGGCAAGAGAATCGTGTAAGCCCAAGAGTTTGAGGTTGCAGTGAGCTGTGACACTGCAGCACTCTATCGAGGGAGACATAGTAAGACTCTGTCTTAAAAAAAGAAAAAATGGTCAGGGAGTGTCCTGGTGTGTGGCCTCAAGAACCTGAGCCCAGATGATGGATATGGAGGGTGGCTGCCCTGGCAAACAGAGGGTCTGGGGTCCTGCTCCCTGTTCAGCCAGGGCTGCGCAGTGTGATGTGCAAAATGAGTGGGCTGGTCACTGCCATCCATATTTCTGTAACTGCACTTGGAAACCCAAGTCTGTTGGGGGAGTTAAAAATATCTTCAGGGCTGTGTGTCACGTGCTGTAAAACATGTATGTCCCTCCACGCCTATACAGGATTCTCCATAGGAAGAGGGGAAAGTGAGAGAAATGCCCTACATTTTTAATTGAGATATAGTTCCCATACCATGAAGTTCACTGTTTTAAAAAGTATACAGTTTAGCAGATCTTAGTATTTTGACAAGGTGGTACAACTGTCACCGCCAATTGATTTCAAAATAATTTTATCACTCCAAAAAGAAACCCCACACCCATTAGCCTTCACTCCCCCATTGTCTCCTCTCCTCAGTCCTGGGCACCACTAATTTTCTTTCTGTCACCATGAATTTACCTGTTCTGGATTTTTTGTGCTCATTAGTTAGGTTTCTGCACCTCCAGTACCAGGGGATGTGTTAATTTGCTCAAGCAATGACACCACATCTGGCACTTCATCCAAGCAGAATCCTGGAATGTCTGGCCTTTTGTGTGTGACTTCCTTCACTTAGTGCAATGTTTTCAGGTTCATCCGTGCTGTAGCACATGACAGTACTTCATTCCTTTCTCTGGCTGGGTGATTATCCATTGTATGAATATCTACATTCTGCATATCTGGTCATCGCTTGATGGGCATTTGGGTTGTTTCCACTTTGGGGCATTACGAATAATGCTGTTGTGAACATTGATGAACGAGTTTTGTTTTGGTTTTGTTGAGACAGAGTCCCACTCTGTGTCCTGAGCAGAGTACAATGGCGTCTTAGCTCACTGCAACCTCACACTCAGGCTGTGGGCATCCCGCTGCCTCGGCCCACGGAAGCCCCTGGGATTACAGGTGCTCACCACAGCGCCCAGCTGGGTTTTTCCAATTTTTTAGGAGTCCAGGATCTCATGCTTGCTCATGTTTTCATTTTTCTTTTTCTTTCTTTCTCTTTCTTTCTTCTCTTTTCTTTCTTTCATTCTTTCTCTCTCTCTCTTTTTTTTTTTGAGATAGAGTATCACTCTGTCACCCAGGCTAGAGTACAGTGGTGTCATCATACCTCACTGTAGCGTCAAACTGAGGCTCAAGTGATCCTCCTGCCCAGGTCTCCCAAGTAGCTGGAACTGCAGGTGTCC